GTGAGAGCCCTCGGCGCGACTTCCCCTCGCAGCCAGCGCCAGTCTGGGCCGGATCCGTCCTTGCACAGCGCCGCTACTGTTCCTGGGACCTCGGGGCGGCTGGGTATGCGGCCAGAGGTCACCCAGAGAGGGGAAGTCTGGACCCCCCCCACCAGCTCTCATTGCAGATGCCGGCATGGAGGGGGGCTGTGAACCTTGCTATACAACCTCCCCCGTGCAAGGCCGGTGTTACGTGGAGCACCTGCACCAAAGCCCGCACGGGGCTGAGCCCAGCCAGAGGGACCTGGGCCTGACCACAGCGACCGCCCCTGGTTTAGCCCCGTCCTAGCTGCATTAGGAGCCAGGAGCCCTTCCACACCAAGAAAGGTGGGGGATAAAAAAGAGGTGCTAATCCCACCAAACGCTGCTCAGGGGCTCCCCAGCTGCATGGCGTAGGCGAGACCATCATGCCCATGGCCTTTCTACAGCCCAAACGAGCCCTTCAAAGCCAGCGTGGCAGCTAAATGGGCAACTCGGGAGCCCCAGGGAGAGCAAGCCACCCCTTCGCCCTGGGCGAGGGGACGCCGGCGTGCAGACCTGGGGCAATGGGCACTTGTTTACACCCCAGGGCAGGCGCCAGCGGGCATGGATGGCAGAAGCCTGTTAAAAAAAAAAAAGCCACCCGCATGCGGCGTTGCAGGGCGCTCCCCTCCACCCCCCGGCCCTCGCAACAGCGAGCCACTTGGGTTTCACTTCTTGTCTCTAAGCAAATGGTTGCAGAGCAGGAACCTCGGGGCAGCCAGGAGCCCCCCCTGCCCTTCCTGCGCCGGGCTGTGCAGGTGTACGCCGGGCCGCGGCTGCGGCTAGGGCGGGGGCAAGCCCTGCTCGAGGGAGCAGCGGTGGCAAGCGCCCCTCTGCAGCCGAGGAAGCGCAGCTGAGCCCCCCTGCTGCAGGACCCCCCCCTCCTCGGCACCCACCCGCCCCAGTTTCAAAACCCCATCGAGTGCCGGGAAGGCGCCTGGCCTCTTACAGACTCACATCCTCTTCCTCCAAGACCCAGCCACCCCCCTCCCAGCCAGCCCCTGACCCCGGGAGCAAGGTCCGACCGCTGCCCTACGGCTCACAGAGGGCGCGGGGGGCTGCGGGGGCACGACAAAAGCTGCGAGTGCCCCAGAAAACACCTCCCACCCACGCAATCCCCGGAGCTTAAGCAACACAGCTCTGCCTGGGGAGAAGCTCCAGCTCCAGCTGGGAGCTCTAGGACATGAAATGTGCAAAGAAGAAAGGGGGGTGGGTTTGCAGGGACCCCACCGCAGCCCGGGAGGGGGCGCAGCACAGGGCGGGCTCAGCCCGCTTGCAGCCTCCTGCCTGGCGCGTGAGGCTGCCGCTGCGGTCCTCGCCCC